GGCAGGGGGGGAACCCCTCCTGCTGGGGGAAAAGGCCAGCTCCCCAGGCCAGGCCACATAGTGCGTGCGAAGGGGTGGGACTCGGGACACCTGGGGTCTCAGCCTGGCTCTGATTTTGGGTTGACCACTTCCTTGTGCCTCAGTTTCCCCTGCTGCTCTTCCAGTCTGCTGCAGCTGGGAGCTCTCTGGCACAGGGCTGGGACCTGTCTGGTGTTAGGGGCTGTGTCTGGGATGCTGCCCAGAGCCCTCAGAGGCCGAGGAATGAGAAGGCCAGTGGCTTCTCACCTGCTGTGCCCACCCCACCTCTAGCCTGGCTCTTGGGGTCGCTGGCCTCTGACAGCAGGGGCTTATGAGAGACAGTGCCTGCCCCAGCAGACCAGCCCCTGCACGGGGGCCTGGCAGGCTAGCAGTGGGGCTGGGAGAAGGATGGGGCTGCACTGTGTGTGGGGCTGGGGACCGGGGTGCAGCAGGCCCTGGGCACGGTCGTGCGGGGCACAGGGGCATGGGCACATGCAGGGCTCCTGAGCAGCCATGCGGGCGGCGCATGACTGGGGGACTTTGACCGCAGCCGGCTGCGCTCCGCCCTGCCACGAGCCTGCCACGCTCATGCTGCCATGCGGCTCGGGCCTGGGGCTGCGGGCACCTGTCCCTGCACATGGCGCGGCTGGGCTTGCTGCGAGGGTCCTGCGGCCTGGAGGCCGGAGCTGCGGTGCTCTCTGGGGCTGGCCCTGCTTTCCAGAGCCCTACCGTGATGGGGATGCACCTTCTCAGGTCCCGGGGGGGCTTGTTTCCACCTCCGCTACCGCGGTGCCCCCATCTTGCATGCCCCCTGCCCCCAGGGGCTGCTGTGCTGGGGCTGCCCATGTGTCTCCTCCACCTGGTTGCTGAGGCAACGGTTTCCGCTCACCTGCTTTCCCCGTGGGAGGCAGGCGCGCTGGGGCTGGGGCTGGGGCTGGGCCGCCAGCTGGAGCAGCAGCTACTGCTGCCATAGCAATGCCGTGGCATGGGGGGGCACCCCAGGGCCACACAGGGACCAGGACCTGGGACGCGGGCACAGGGACTGTGCCTTTGGTGGCCAAGCCACTAACCAGCCTCCTGCACCCCCCATCCACCTCTCGAGCTCCTGCTTTGCATTGTCACAGCTGTTTTGGGGCTGGGGGAGTCTCTCCAGGGAGAGGTCTCGGCAACTGGTGCTGGGATGTGGGTCTGAAAGCACCGGCCACGCTCGTCTCTGATGGATGCTACAACTTCAGGCCTTGCAAGGTGATTTACCCAGGGGCTTGTGGGGCCGGCAGGCATGGGGGATCGGGCTTGTTGGATACAGCTCGGGGATTTCCACGTCTGCCTCCCCAAGGGGCCGGAGCCCCCTCTCTCCCAGCAGCTTCCCAGCCACGGCAGCTCCCCGCAGCTCCCACCGACGTCGCCCGCGAGGGGCGTTTGCAAACTGGGCCACTGATTCAGGTGCCTAAATATGGAGTGAAAAGCTTCCCACGGCCTAAAAATACCTCCCCTCCCTGCTTGTGCGCTGGTGCCTTTTCCCAGTGGCGCCAGGCAGAGCCTCCGCGCGGCCATCTGCTCCTTGCGCAGGGCGGCACGTTGCTCAGAGCCTGGCAGGCGGCGGCGGCATCACGACTCGAAGCCGTGGCACTTGTTATTTGGGGCAGGAAAGGGGCGGAAGTGAGGTTGGCGCTGGCATCGAGCTGAGGCCGTGGAAGGAAGCAGAAAGAAAAGCCATAACGGGGAATGCGATAGCAGGGAAAGCTGCTGGGCCTGATCCTCCCCCGAGCTGCTCCGTGCCCTCGTGTGAGAGGCGGGCGAGGCCCCGCGGCATGGCGGCTGCAAGGAAACGGGGTCTCGCCAGGGGCTGGCCAGTGTTTTGCTTGCCCCCCAACAGGGTAGGGGCCTGGCTGTGCTGGGGCCGGGGCGGCTCACAAGTGAGCCAGGCTGGGCAGGTCTGGGGCCCGGCTGCCCTAGGGGAGCCCCGCCGGGATGCCGCTGAGGGCTGGCTGGTTCCGGGAGGCCCACGCCAGCCCCCGGGAGCATTGCAGCCAGGCTCCTGCTGCCTGCCCCTCCATTCAGAGCCGGGCCTTGTTTGGCCGCGGCAGCCAGGCACCTCCCGGCCCCTTGGCTGGCGCTGGGACCGCTGCCCGTAGCGCCCCCGCGACCCTCGGGTCACGGCGCGCGTAGCTGAGCACGGACACGGCTCATCGCACTGCTGCCAGGCGCGGCGCGGCACGGCCCTCCCGCCG